CCGCTGCGTTCCTCCCCGCCCATCCTCCCTGCTTTCCTTCCCCGACCCTTGTCTTCCTCCCCTCCTTCCCCTTCCCCCCTTCCCGCATCTCTTCTCTCCCCCCTTCCCCCCCCCCCCCAAGGGCAAAAGAGGCCACTTTTGTAAAGACGGGGAGGGGGAGGGGAGGCTGATTCCCTCCCCCCCCCCCCCCCCCCCGCCGCCCACTGGAAGTGACCTGGCGCTTGGGTACTGGGTGTCCCTTCACCAGAATAGATAATTTGGTGGTGGGCTGTAACTGCTTTGGTTGACTACCTGGTTCGAAAGCCTCTCAGTCCCAATACCTTGATTGTCCCTTCGTGATTTATGGAGGTTAACTTTGTCTTGAACCTTTTGTATCTATGCAACTTTTAAGAAACGGGACTCACATTTGAACATTACCCCCTGAGAATAAATGCCAGGCCTGCACTAAGGATGAAATCTTAGTGTGTGTGCCCTTCGGAAGTACATTAACAACCAATCCACATTTTTATTTAATAACTGTCATTTCTTCTAAAAGAATCTTCCTTTTTTAAAATAACTTGAGTGTAGGAAAGGGAGCTAGACATCAAAGACAAATAGCAAATTAATGGAAAATAATTGAAGAAAATTAAAGAAACTTTTAGCTTTAAATGAATTGTATTACTCAGATCCTTAGTTTGCAACTAAAATGAAAGAGATCTATTAATATTTCTTCCTGTCAGATATTTCTTTTCACCAGTGTCATAAATTTGGTTATATAGGTATTTGGTTTTCATGCAGTCCTATTGATGCTTCTGATTTTAACATCAGTGTGAGTAAAAGAGTCATTTGTTGTTGTTGTTGTTATTGTTTGCCTGTCCTGGGGTTTGAACTCAGGGTCTGGGCACTGTCCCTGAGCTTCTTTTGCTCAAGGCTAGTGTTCTACCCCTTGAACCACAGCACCACTTTTTCTGTGCATGTGGTACTGAAATATCGAACCCAGGGACTCATGCTTGCTCTGCAAGCACTCCATTGCTGAGCCACATTCCCGGCCCCAAAAGAGTCAATTTTTATAAGCTTTGGAACTGACTTTATACATCTGAAATTCTCAATTCCATGTGATCACTGAACAACAAGCATGACATCCATACATATTTAATTACTTAGACATAAGTAAACTTACTCTTCTACTTTGTATCATCTGATTTAGTATTGTTTCTAATGAGTGCCAAGAAATGGATTAGGAGAGACACAAGTTACTAACTGCTGTTTCACATGTCTGTAAATGTCCAACCAGATGTGGCTTGGGGAAGTGGTGGTGGTGGTGGGGAACTAAGTGATTTTTTGTTTTGTTTTGTTTTTGGTTTGATCATAGGGCTTGAACTTGGAGCCTGGATGTTGTCCTTGAGCTCTTCAGCGAGCACTCTACCACTTGAGCCATAGAGCCACTTCTGGTTTTCTGGTGGTCAGTTGGAGATAAGAGTCTTGTGGACTTTCCTGCCCTGGCTGGGTTTGAACAATGATCCTCAGATCTCAGCTTCCTGAGTAGCTAGGATTACAGGCGTGAGCCACTGGCGCCTGGCTTGGACATTCTTTTAACATAGTAGAAGAGATGGCAGACATAAAACAGTGCATCATTAACATGTAAGTGGGAATTGTATGGACTGTTGTGTACATGTAATCATGTTATTCTCAGGCTTGCCGGCCCCACTGTCCATCCTTAGGATAAACCCTGCAGCACGGGCTGTATGAAGTCTGCCTTCTAAAGTTACCTAATGTCAGACTCTTAACTAAATAGCTTCCAGGAAGTGAATGGTGACTCTTTCCATTTTTTTTTAAACTTCTACCAAATAACTGCCAAACAGCCAGAAAGCTTTATTTCTTTGAATTCTTTTGGAGAACAAGTAGTGCTATAGCTGCTTTTCGCTTGGTTAAGGATGGAAAGATTGCCTTCAAGGTGCAGGAAGTGTATAGGTTCTCTGGCTCACTTGAGAGGAAAATGAGGGCAAGGACTAATGAGATTTCAGAGGGTCACAGGCTGAGGATGTAGTTTACTGTTAGAGCTCTTGCCTAGCATCACAGAGCTCCCAAGTTTCATCCCTAGCATGGCAAATAAGTGAAGAATGGATGAGGCATAGATTGTTGAGGCTATAGATAAATTAGTCTTGTGCAGATGATCTAAGTGTTGCTGCCTGTGGATCCATTTGGGGATAAAACACATCCATCCTTCTTTCACTTCTGTTGTCCAGTGACAACACAAAAGTTTTTGCTTTGTCCAGTCTTTTACCATGATATCGCCATTCTTTTGGTGGTCCAGGCTTTCAGTTTTCTCTGGCCTTTCCCATCTGTCTACTTGTCCACGCCTGACTGTGTGCCTACTGCCTCCATTTAGTGTTTCCTGTTTACATCATGTCCACAATCTCTAACTGGCCTCCTTCTCAGAACTCCACCTTCCCAACCAATCTGCTGCCAGTCATCTTCCTGATTATTACTTTCCTCTTGCTAGCTCTTCATCCAGGATAAAGGACACACTTATTTAGTGTACCGTCTGGGGGCCAGGCCCAACCTGCTTTTCTTATCATTTCTCTTGTTCTGCTCCTGCACTGTGTATATTGTATATATTCCTGGATATATTGTAATAATGAGTCCCTAAAATTTTTTTCCTTTCCTTGTTTTGTTCTATATTTTAATTTTTTTTTTTGGTCGGTTGTGGGGCTTGAACTCTGGGCCTGGCGCTGTCTTTGCGCTCCTCAGCTCAAGGTGAGCACTCTACCACTTGAGCCACAGTGCCACTTCCGGTTTTCTAGTGGTTTACTGGAGATAAGAGTCGCACAGACTTTCCTGCCTTGGCTGGTGTTGAACCGTGATCCTCGAGATCTCAGCCTCCTGAGTAGCTAAGATTACAGGCATGAGCCACTGGCACCTGGCTATATTTCAATTCTTGACGTCTCTTTCTGCCCCAATCCAGCTTTCTGGTTTCCTACCTATTTAGAGTACCAAGGCCTCATTTGGCCATTCCGTCCATCCTCTTTGTCCCCATAGCACTCCTACAAATCTTTTTTGTTGTTGTTGTTGTGGGGTCTGAACTCTGGGCCTGGGCACTGTCCATCAGCTCTTCAGCTCAAGGCCAGCGCTATACCACTTGAGTCACAGCACCACTTCCAGTCTTTTCAGCTTATGTGGTGCTGAGGAATCGAACCCAAAGCCTCATGCATATAAGGCAAGCACTGCTGTCAGTCATCTTCCTGATTATTACTTCCTTGCTGCTAGCTCTTCATCCAGGATAAAGGACATACTTATTTAGTGTGCTTTCTGGGGGGCCGGGAAGCTCAACTGAGCCACCTTCTCAGCCCCACTCCTACAAATCTTTATTTCTGGAAAATGAGGGATTCTGTCAATAGTAAGTTTTTGGCTCACTATAAAAAGGGTGGAGAGCTGTGCTTATTCTGTGTGGTTGCAAATGTATGGTAGTACTATCTAAGTGAATATGCCTTTTATTGATAGTCAGTGCCATTTATCAAATGTTTCTTGTGTGCTAGGTTCTAGATCCTCACTGAAGGAAGTGATGTTAGTCAGTATTGCAGGGAGGAAAATAAAGGCCTCCAGAATTAAAGGTGTTAGAGATCACTCACAGCTAGGGCTGGATCTGAGGTCCTCTTGTATATGAAGCCCACTGTAGTGTTCTCATGCCCCTGGCTCTCCTGTGTTACTTCTGTGGAGGACGCCTGCCTCCTTCAGGCAGTTGTATGCTCAAGGGTCAGGATTGAGCACATGCATTCTTGTGATAATTCTGGCTCACTAGAGACATTTTCTTTTTTTTTTTAATTTAATTTAATTTTATTTGTGAACATACCGTACAGAGGGGTTACAATTACATGGGCAGGATAATGCGTACATTTCTTACCAAGCATTGCAGCCTCCTCCTTTGGTTTACCCTTCACCCCCCTCCCCCGCCCCCCCCCCCCCCCCAATCCCAACCTTCTTCTTCCCCCCCCTTCCCCCCCCCCCCCCCCCCCGCACCAACGTTGTAAAGCTCGTTTTGGACATGACAACTTGTACTTCTCATTGTTGCATCAGATCCACCTGTATTCCTTAAACAACTGGTTTTTCCCCATCTCCTCCACAAGTTATACTGACATCAAATATAGTGAAAGCAGGGGTTATACTGTGGGGGAGGGACATACAAAGCAACAAAGAGAACTAGAGACATTTTCATTTGAGGCTTTGGAGGCTATAGACTGGAACTTTGTTCTACTGTGCCTACTAAATTAGAGGAGCAATACATTCTTTTTATCGTCTATTTGTTTTCTAGTACTTCACATGCACTCTGTAAATATTTGTTGAATGAATGGTGGTAGAGACAAAAACAAATCGTTCAGCAGCATATTGGGAAGCAATTCAGAATTTTAAGAAGCTGTATGGCAGTAATATTATTTTCCTTCAGCTTTTTATGAAGGTGTGTCTATCTTCATGCTGGTGAGGATACTGCACTCTGTGTGCACGCGCATGTGTGTACATGTAAGCATGTGAGCATGTGCACATTCCCTGGTCCTAGGCACTGTTCCTGAGCCTCTTTGCGTAGGGCCAGTGCTCTACCACTTGAGCCATAGTTCCACTTTCAGTCATTTGATGGTTAATTGGAAGCAAGCGCCTCATGAACTTTCCTGCCTGGTCTGGTTTCTAACCGGGATTCTCAGAATCTTTAGTCTTCCCTAAATTTTGTCATAAGGTCTCAAAGTGTTGCTTTAGAAATTGGAGTATTGCCAGTTATGGTAAAAATTGGAGTAGCGGCCCCCCTTAGGGGAATTACTCCTGTCTGGGCCTGGGTCTGGGGCTCCTTAGTGTGCTCTTAGGGCAGCCATCCAGGGGGCGGGGCCGTCCCGTGGGCGGGGCCTGGGCGGGACAGCCGAAGTGCGCACGCGCAGAAGCCTTCCAACGGTCCCAACTACCTGCCGCTGCTGCCGGCCGGCGGCCAGCGGCCGGCCATCGTCGGAAGTGTGAGGTGGTTACTGCCGGCTGCCAACATGTCGGAGGAGAAAGGGCCGCTGAAGAGAGGCCTGGAGAAAGGGGAGGAGCCCTTCTCCTGTGGAGAGCGCTGGGCCAAGCTGGTGGTGGTGGAGGGGAGAGAAACGGCGAAGATGGAGGCGGTGGTGGGGGCCGGTGACTGCCCGGACCACCTCAGCTCGGCGGACTCGGCGGACGACTTGGACCCGGAGCTGCTGGCGGCCCGCGAGGACGAGGGGAAATGCCGGGTCCTGCGCAAGCAGTACCGGCAGCTCATCAACAGCGTCCAGCAGAACCGGGACAACATCGTGAACACGGCCAGCAACTCGCTAACCGAGGCCCTCGAGGAAGCCAACCTGCTCTTCGATGCAGTGAGCCGAACAAGGGAGGCGGCCCTTGATGCCCAGTTTCTTGTCTTGGCTTCGGATTTAGGTAAAGAAAAAGCAAAGCACTTGAATTCTGGCATGAGCTATTTTAACCAGGCAGCGTTTTGTGGCTTTCTTTTTCGAGCTGCGGGCCTGAATTGGTTGGAAGATGAGTGTGACGATTTCAGTGTTTGTGATGACAGTATTGTTCTTTCCTTCTGGAAGGCAGTGCAGAAGGAAGCAACATCCTGGATAATGCAGGCCGAATCGTTTCACTTTGTTTTTGGTTCATTCAAGCCAGAACCTTCTTCACGAAAGCCCCGACTTGACCATCACAAAAAAATGCGCAAACTGGAAGGAAATGGAGCGATGCCTACGAAGTTGAGGAAACTGGACCTGAGTTCTAACCAAGAAGCAACAGAAAAAGAGGTGGAAAGAATCTTGGGATTGTTGCAAACCTGCTTTCGAAAATATCCTGATACTCCTGTCTCCTATTTTGAGTTTGTGGTTGATCCACACTCATTCTCCCGGACTGTGGAGAATATATTTTACGTTTCTTTTATTATAAGAGATGGTTTTGCAAGAATAAGGCTTGACCAAGATAGGCTGCCAATACTAGAGCCAATTAATATTAACCAAATGGACGAAGAAAATGATCCTGGTTTCTTTGGCAGAAAACAAGGCGTTATATCATTGAGCTTACAGGACTGGAAAAACATTGTGGCTACTTTTGAAATTTCAGAGGCAATGATCAAAAACTCATACTAAGATTTTTGTTTATACATAGAAACATATTCTGTTGTTTTCCTGAAATATCTCAAAATAGAACCTAAGCAGAAGCACATATTATGCTGTTCCTTTTGCATTTCTAAGAACATCTGAAATTATCTTGTGCAGTATATTTTTTTCCATAACTTAGAAGATTATGGTCTTAATGAAAAGTTCTCTAGCATGCTTAGGGAAGTTGTTAATAAGTTTAGAATTACATATAAGATAGTGACCAACTTGCAAAAAAAAAAATCAAGGGCTGGGAAGGTGGCTCAGTGGTAGAGTGCTTGCCTTGCATGCATAAGGCTCTGGGTTTGATTCCTCATCACCACATAAGCAGAAAAAGCTGGAAGTGGTACTGTGGCTCAAGTGGTAGAAAGCTAGCTTTGAGCTGAAGAGCTGAACAGCGCCCAGGCCCAGAGTTCAGGCCCCATGACCGACAAAAAAAAAAAAAATCAAAATACTCTATAATAATACTTAACCTTTGTTACAGTGAAAACAGTGAACTAAGAAAATCTTGTAAGAAGTGCCTAAAGTTGGGAATGTGTAGATGGAAAAGTTGGTCAAGAAAAGTTATCTGTAAGGTAAAAGATGCCATATTAAGATTAAAAATTCTCAGATAACATGCTTTGTTAGCCAGGAGTGTTATATTCTAAATAGTTTCTCCTGTAAATGGACCCATCAAAAACTACTATATTGCTAAGTAGGTGAAACATTAAGGACTGACACTTGAAGAATTAGAGACAGGAAAAGCATTGTAGGCAGGGTAATAACAAGGTCAGGTGCATGGAATTGTTACAAATCATGACATGAGAAAACCATCAGATTTATGGGAACAAGTTGACTGTTAAGCTGGGCAAGAATTTACAGTGACCTCATCTATTTTTAGAGGTAGTGAAGATATTTTTGTAATCTACTTGGTTAATTCTTTGGCACGCCTTTGCAGTTTCTGCTAGTACAGGATGCCCTTCAGAAGCACATTCTATACTGCACTATATATTGTTTCATCACACAAAAACTTGGGAGTATTTGTCCCAGTTAAGTTTGCAATTCTTAGAGGGCTGGGCATTTCCCTGTTGAAAAATCTAAATTTATCCAAATGTTTGTCACGAGTGTGAAACCATACAGGAATTTTTTAAGCTCAGTGGTAGAGTGCTCATCCAGCGTTTAGTTCCCTGGCTTCAGTCTCCAACATGAAAGAGGGGATTACAACCTAAGTTTAATCTGGAGATTACAGAAAATTACGGAAATGATTTTAGAAGTTGCTGTAGGTGAGATGAGCATGCCCATAAACTATTTTTCTTATCGCTTCAGGAATGTATACTTTAGTAGTGGAGGAATTTTGTCAAAATAATTTGGCAATGTCTTTGCTTAATCATAATAAACTTTCTTAAGTGTGGTACTTGGAAGGGAAATACAAAGTCTAAATGGGGCTGGGAAGGTGGCTCAGTGGTAGAGCACTTGCCTTGCATGCCTGAGGCCCTGGGTTCGATTCCTCAGCACCACATAAGAAAAAAGAAAAAAG